ACCGCCACCGTCCGGACCGGCCTTCTCCAGCGCGCCGCCCGCCCAGCCGCTGTTCCAGGTCAGGGCCGACTCCGCCGCGGCTGGGCTGACGGCCGAGAGGCCGACGCAGGTCCGGCTGGGGTGATGTCGGTGCATACCTCGCGTGGGTGGCCGTCCGGGAGACGTCGCTGGTGGGGGGCGTCCTGCGACTGTGGTTCTCTCAGACGAACGCTGTGAAATTTTGTGGTTTATTTTGTGGTATATTTCGCTGTGAAATTTTGTGGAAATTTTGTGAACCTTCGACGCTCAAAATCTCAGAAACTTTGTTTCACAAATTTGGTTTATGGCGCATTCTCCAGTGAACAGATGGGGGCAGTTGTGTGGATTTTTTGAATATTTTCGTCGCCGCCATGCGGCGAAGTTTGTCACGGAAGATTTTGGTTTTTATGTAATTAAGATCCAACTTGATTTGTTTTCAAAATGGGCAGCGAAGAATGAACGTGGCTGTTAGGACTATCAGTAATGAGAGACATCATTATGCTTCAGTTGTCCGTCGTTCTCTTGACGACGGGTCTCATACGAGTAGCCCAACGCGATGCCATCGCTCGAAGAGGCGCTCTGGTCCTGTGGAGTTACCTCACTTCATTTGCAGTTACCTGCCATGCGATGGTTTGATGCATGACGTGACCATAATTCGCCGACTCGCACCGGCACTGAGACTTTTGGACGGCAGTCACTGAGACTGCCGTTAACGCCCACACCCGGTGTCCACATCATGCGAATGCGTCTGTGACCCGCGTTCAGTGCTGGTGTGGATTATGCGAAAGTGCGTGGCTGTGCGCAGCCTTCCGCAAGCTTACCGCACGCCCAACACGCGTGCATAATGTGGCTGACGACTGTCTGGCTCATGTTCGTTCGTCTGCCGCGTGCTGACCGTCGGCCGGCGCGTGTGTGACGACAGGCGCCGCCGCCGCCGGTGGGCTCGCAGCCGGCGGGGCCGCCACCGCCGCCGCCGCCGCCGCCGCCTCCGCCGCCGGCCGGCCAGGGCTGGCGCGCGCCCTGGCCCCAGCAGGGGCCGCCGCCGCTGTCGGCGCCGCCGCCGGGACCGGTGAGTGGCCAGCGCCCGCGCTCCCGCCGCCGTCGGCTCGCGGGGACTCCCCCAGCGGGTCACCCGCCGGCCTGCTGACGCCCTCAGTCGGCCTGTATACCTCTGTCGGCCTGTATCCCTCTGTCGGCCGTTATCGCTGCCCGACAGCGCCGATGTGTGGGCCGCGTGCCGTGTGTACCCGTGTGCGCGGGCGTCCGCCTGTGTCGCCGACTGACAGCCGCTGTGTGTGGGCAGGTGCCGCCGCCAAGGCCGGTCGGACCGCCGTCGGTGCCGCCGCCGTCGCTGTTCCCCGGCTGGCAGCAGTTCGGCGCGCCGCCGCCGCCGCCGCCGCCGGCGCGGCCGCCGCAGCAGGCCGACCTCAGTCTGCTGGCGCAGGCCGGTCTGCCCAACCTGCTGGCGGCGCCGCCGCCGCCGCCGCCCAGCTAGACGGCGTGGCCGACCGACCGGCGGAGAGGCGCCGGCCGATGAATGGGTGGTGAAGAGCGGAGAAGAGACGCGGCGGAGGGGAGCGGCGGCCGCGGCGGGGGACGCTTGGAGCGGGGGGGGGGGGGGGAAGGGCAGGGAGCTGCGGGTGGCCTGAATAGGGAGAGGAGCGGGCGGCACGCGGCGCCGCTCTGGGCTAGAGCGGCCGCTGCTGTCGACGTGTGGGTGCGAGCGCCAGCGTGTTTCCGTGTGCCGCGGCTCCAGCCCGCCGGCGACGGCGCGACGGCCGTCGGCGGGCCGCCCGGAGGGCGCGGCAGGCAGTGTCGCCGCCGAGACGTGCGGCAGACACTGGGCGGCGCCGGTGACGCGCGTGGCGCGGCGTTCTCGGCGAGTCGGCGCTGGATGACGCGGTGCTGCCGCAGCCGGCTGACCTTCTGACGTCAGCTGACGCGCAGCCGGGCCCGCCGCGTGGGGCGAGCGCGGCTGTGTACCCGCGCCGGCCGGCCGCATGGTAGTGCTGTACATAGTCGGCCTCTCTTTCTCCTCTTTCTTTCGCTCGCTGTGTACTGTCTGGCCGGCTTCTTAGTAGCGTGTCCGCCGCCGCCCGCCGCGTACTTGTACGCTTCAATACAGCTTGACTACGGCCGAACTCTGCCTCGTGTGCGTGCGGAGCCCGCCTGGCAGACTGGGGACCGGACGCGCGGAGCGGGACCGCGTGTGGTGAGTGGTGCGTCTACCAGACAAGAGCGCTGAGATCTGGCGCGCCCCCACACGAGGGCGCTGGGATCAGGCGCACGCCCCGGACAACGGCGCGCTTCTCGAAGTCGGTCAGATAACTGAGTTGGAAGCTTCTGTTGTATTCATCCCGTTCGCAATAGGTAATCGTAGGGCGAAAAATGTCTTCCGTGGTGGATTTTCCGTCATTTTGGTGGTTTAGGCTGCGCGAGGTAGGTCTCGTGCCACCACGCCAGTGTCGCGCGTCGCCAGCCGAGACAAGTGGATCTCTTGGTTGGGATCTACCAAAAATAGGTGTCACGGAGGCGCCGCGCGCGGGCGGAACAAGCCGCCGAAGCTTCGAGAAGGCGCGCTTGGCCAGTCCAGCAACATCTTCCTCGCTTATGTGCGCCAACAACAATTGTACTCGAGTCCTCAACATTGGTCCGCATTGGCCACTTCGGAAGCCTCTGTGGTCGGTGGGATCGACACAGCAGCGGCACCGGCCCTCCCCAGCTGACTGAGTGAAACATCGCTGCCAGGCTTAGCTTCTCATTTCAGTGCAGTCCTGGCCGTGAAATGGCGTCCAAGCAGGGCGGAACAGCGGAGACAAAGCCGTGTAAACCAGGAGCCCAGTCAAGAGCGACTATACACGCCACGTTAACTGACTCCGAATGCTCACGGCGCTCCTCAGCGCCGCCGCCGCGGCCTGTGCCCCGGTGGTCGCGGGCTACTGACACCAGCGCGAGCACGGCCTGGCCTGGCGCCCTCCCAGCGGGGTCCGGTGTAGACTCGCGAGTCCAGACGCTGGCCCCGGCACACGGCGGTCGAGCTGCTGCAGACGGGCGCCGGCACCCGCGGGCGCTCCGCGGAGGGGGTCGGTGCGGCCCTCGCAGCGCCGCCGGCGCGCCTGGACAAGACTCCCCGTTACACGTCCGTGCGGCGTGCGTGCATTGTGCGTCACATGCCGCCGTCCGTGCGTGCCACGCGCCGACGATGTCTCGGCCCGCGCGAGGCGCGTAGTATCTGTCAGCTGAGCGAGAGACCCAGCGTTGTTGGACCTTCCGCACTGAGCCCACCAGATGGCGGAGTCGGTACGGTACCTCCAGGAAACGCTGATCAGGTCAGCGGAAACGACGCGACTCCCGCTCCAGCTGGGCGTGCTGTCCTTGCTGCGTTGTCGGCAACTGTTTATGGCCAGGGTGTTCGGTCCCCGGTCCCGGTGTCCCCTGGTGTCCGGTCCCCGCGTCCGGTCAGGGCTTGGGACAACCGCGCCCGGCCGGAGGGGAGTTGGTGAACCCCCTGGGATCTCCAACTTCCAGACGCCGTATTAGAAACACAACGATACCATTTTGAGGGTCTCGCCAAATAAAAAATGCACAAAATATTCCACCTTAGGTCAACTGTGAGGTCACCAGAGGCCACGAAATATAAAAACGGTCGTTTCGATAAATGCGGTTAAAGCCTATATTTACACCTCAAGACAAATATCGAGGGCACGGAAATAAGCGCTGAAAGGGTCAGGAGTCCATTCTAATCATTTCTGTTCTCCCACATGGATCGGTTCAGATTAGGTCACCGTACCACATTGCTGTGCCGGCAGCCTACAAGAACGGTACTTTTCTTCACGTCGTGTTTTTCATTTAAGTTATTTGATTATATGCAACTGTGGACAAGAGTATTACAGACACAGAAAAACGCCACTTTAGGGTCACGTAGAGGTCATCCGAGGTCAACTTAGGTTGAATATAAAAACTATCCAAATTAAAAAACTTAAGTGCTAGCAGGGTCTATGTGACCAGTACAATGCTTTTCTGAGGTCAGAAATAGTATATTGTACATCCATTGGTGCTCAAGATAGCGAAGTTGTTGTATACATTGTGCATAGTCCCTTCCATGCTTGGCGATGCATTTAATACAAACTGAGAATAGGTGCGTTGGTTCGTGAAATTAGACGCCATCAGTTTCGCGAGCACGATAAGGAAGTGGTCACACGCGCCATACTCGCTCATCTAGCCCCCCCCCCCGCTACTAGCCACAAAGGTATTTGACCTTGAATGACCTCACATATTGTTGCATGTCCTCACATGACCTATTGTGACCTCAGTAGGCATTATAATTATTTCACATGTTTCAGTGAAGTATTCGAATTCTGCGTTCAAAATTAACATACGAAACTGCCTATTTTGAGTTCCGCATGTGTTTTGCACACGGCGCCCACAGAGATGAGTCATGACCTGGGCCAAGGCCACGCGCTCTTTGGTCATATACTGCTTTGGCACGAAAGTTGGCACTCTTTTCTTCATAAAAAAATACCGAAAGTACACAAAACACGTACAAAGTTGCATTATCTACGAAAACTGACAAAATTTATCCGACCCGAGATCATTTACCCTGCCTTTTAAAAAAATCTGAAATTAACCAACTGTGTGTGCTATCATTTTCCCTACTACAACAGGTTTAAACAGTGGCAAATGAACCACAAAAAAGTTACGTGTGGTCAGAAATGTTCGGAGGTTGATCTCCTTAACCTGATTCAGGTCACAGGTCTTGGTAGATCAAAACTTCAAAATCGCACAAAGGATGCCAAATCAATAGATGAACAGGCACTGAGAGCATCGTGTTACCGTGAACACTTATCTTTGACCTATGCTCGAAAAGCCGTAGAAGTAGGAAGGCGACTTCCCCCGCCTACGCAGGCTAACGACAGACTTTCGTTGACATTCCACAATTTTTAGACTAAAATCTGCATTACAAAGGCTTGCAAACAGCTCAATGTTTCTGAGAATACGTCTATTCAACGTCCTTTCAAAACAGTTTTATATTCCATCCGCCTAAGGAGTGGTTTGTAATTCACACACAGACACGGAAGACCATATCTATACACGGCGATCTCGCAAAAAGCTCACCTAAAGGTATCTCACTATACGCTCTCAAACACAAAGCATGCATAAATACAAACAGAAACCGCAACCTAGATAGAAACGAGCATTCTACCACCCGTATGTATTGCACTGGCTCCAATGACCGTTTCGAAACGCAACTAACAAAAATATAGCAGATCGGTATCATCATCGACGACGTACTTCTAAATGTCTCACTCAATACGCACTAACGCATGTTATCACAAGCACCGAGACTTGGCATCCAGCGGTATATCTCCACACCCGTCCAGTTTCCGTACGTCTCGCAACACAGCTCCCACCGACTACACGACCTCCTGACGTCTTGTTCGTTGTTTATCGACGCTTCCGAGCGAGTCAATCGCCGAGGTCACACTGCACCCACAGCTGCTAAGGTCATCACGAGGTCGACACGACGCTGCGGTTTTACGGGTGCGTCAACTGCAGCGGTCACTTGACGCCCATCACCACGGGGCCTTGCTGTCGATAACGTACGAGACGAACGTACGAGGCATATCCAGCCATCTCTCGCCAGCGTTCGTCCCCAGCGGTCTGCGTCCGCGGCAGCCCAGCCTTGACCTCAAGGGTACAGCAAGGGTCAGCCAGGCGACCCGGGCCACCAGCCGGCGGTGCCGACCTCAGCACGCGCCCGCCTCCGCCCGCCGGCGTCGCCGCGGCCGGGCGGCGCTTCACTTGTACTCGGCGTTGAGCGCGCGCCCGATCACCAGTCGGCGCACCTCGCTGGTGCCGGCACCGATCTCGTACAGCTTGGCGTCTCGCACCAGCCGGCCCGTCGGGTACTCGTTGATGTAGCCGTTGCCGCCTGATGGAGCAGGGCGGCCGTCAGAGGACGGGGCGGCCGTCAGAGGACGGGGCGGCCGTCAGAGGACGGGGCAGCCGTCAGAGGACGGGGCGGCCGTCAGAGGACGGGGCGGCCGTCGGAGGGCGGGCGGCCGTCGGAGGGCGGGGCGGCCGTCGGAGGGCGGGCGGCCGTCAGAGGACGGGGCGGCCGTCGGAGGGCGGGGCGGCCGTCAGAGGACGGGGCGGCCGTCAGAGGACGGGGCGGCCGTCGGAGGACGGGGCGGCCGTCAGAGGACGGGGCGGCCGTCGGAGGGCGGGCGGCCGTCGGAGGACGGGGCGGCCGTCAGAGGACGGGGCGGCCGTTAGAGGGCGGGGCGGCCGTTAGAGGGCGGGGCGGGGCGGCCGTTAGAGGGCGGGGCGGCCGTCAGAGGGCGGGGCGGCCGTCAGAGGACGGGGCGGCCGTCAGAGGACGGGGTGGCCGTCAGAGGACGGGGCGGCCGTTAGAGGACGGGGCGGCCGTCAGGGGGCGGGCGGCCGTCAGAGGGCGGGACGGGGCGGCCGTCAGAGGGCGGGACGGGGCGGCCGTCAGAGGACGGGGTGGCCGTCAGAGGACGGGGCGGCCGTTAGAGGACGGGGCGGCCGTCAGGGGGCGGGCGGCCGTCAGAGGGCGGGACGGGGCGGCCGTCAGGGGGCGGGGCAGCCATCAGAGCGAGTGTTCGGGTCGAGGGAGTGTAGGAACCAAATCAGCACGTCTCAAAGTGGCTGGTGCATATTATGTATACTCTTTAGCAGGAGTCTACCGACAGTAGCAGGGTGTAGGTGTCACAAGATAGCAGAAGTTCAAAGACAGTGGGTGGCACAGGAATGTGTGTGTGTGTTACAGGACAGTAGGAGTCAAGACAGTGGGGGTTACAATGCTAACCATTACAATGCTAACTTACAGCTACATCATGTCAATACAACCGTCATCTTGCGGGGCAAGGTCGTTCAACCAGTATCTCCCAGCATACTGACGGTCACTAACAACACAAAACTTGCACACCATAATCCCCGGTCTGTTCGAACCATACCTTTACATAGCTTGCCTGGAATCAGGAAGACTGGCACACGCACCCTGAAGCCCCTCCCCCTTCCCCCGCCAAACCCCAACCCCGTCCGAGACGGCAGCACCGACCGTCGGACGGCCGGGCGCGACAGCGCTGCCACCTACCGAGCGCCTGCACCGCCTGCAGCGCCACCTGGGTGGCCTTCTCGGCGCAGTACAGGATGACGCCTGCGCAGTCCTTGCCGGCCACGTGGCCGCGGTCGCAGGCGCGCGCCACGCTGTACAGGTAGGCGCGGCAGGCGTTCGTGTCGCAGTACATGTCGGCCAGCTTGCCCTGCGGGGCGGGCACACGGTCAGAGCGGGCACGCCGTCCGGGCGGGCACGCTGTCAGAGCGGGCACGCTGTCAGAGCGGGCACGCTGTCAGAGCGGGCACAGTCAGTCAGTCAGGGAAGACAAACCCTCCGGGAGGGACAGGGGCGGGCACCGCAGGCGGCTGTCCGGCCCGGGCGTGGCGTACCCCGCGGCCAGGGTTCGCCCGCCTGCCGACCGGCTCCTACCCGCGGGCTCGCGGCAGGCGGACCGCCGGCCTGTGCTGCCGCTGACCTCGTGGCGCGCCTCTGGCCCGGCACATATCGGTTCGCCCGGGCGGTGGCACTGTTACACGTTTTTTTCGAAGGTTCCATCTTGCGAGTCGTTCAGCGCGGTATGCCTAAGCTTCCGTCAGTTGAGGTTCGAGTCATTTAACACTTTCTGCAAGTGAGAGCTAGCTCAACCAAGGCTGTCGTTATACGATGACCTAAAACGTACGTTCATGCATGAGAATCAAGTACTCCAGGTCAAGGTCACACGAGGCCAAACCTAAAAAATACACGAAGCGGTCTAGCAAGCGTCTTTAGTACACAATATCACCCTCGGTCATTACATTAAGGGTGTAACGCCAAAGTTAACGCCAGAGAGGTGATGGAATAAACTCAGGGGACGTACCAGGATCCCACGGAAGCAGATATCACGTACTGATTACACCAGTTCCCCGGCACGCTCACGAAAAAAAAAACACGATGAAGTGACAAAAAGGCGATCGGGTCCTGTCCGACACACTCTGAAAAGCCTACGGTAAGGCGTAACACTGAAACAGCAGCTGCACGCTGAAGCACTAGCCTGACCCCACGACCTAAGACCTGGCCCTTTGATCCGGTGACCCCGTCCTGCGACCTGACGACCTAGCCTGGTGCCCCGGCCGCACCTGCATCAGCTGGAAGTGACCGATCGGCTGGCCGAACTGCTTGCGCTGGTGGCAGTAGTCGAACGTGACGTCACAGGCGGCCTGCATCAGTCTGCCGGCGGCAGCCGTGACGTCACACAGCGGCGACGTCAGACAGCGGGGACGTCATACAGCAGACATCAAACAGCGGTGGCGTCATACAGCAGAGACGTCAAACAACGGTGACGACAGACAGCGGTGACGTCAGACAGCAATGACGTCAGACAGCGGTGACGTCAGACAGCGGTGACGTCAGACAGCGGCGACGCCCGACAGGCACGGCTCCAACAAATCCAATCCAGCCCTCCGCGTTCGCAGCAGCGCCAACCTGTCGCATACAAATCAACGCGGCTTTCCGTGCGTTCGCAACGATGTGGGGCTTCGCTCGCTCGCTACGAGTAAAACATGGGGCGCTGTGTCGAAGACAAAAACAAACAAACAAACAAAAAACAAAAGCGAAAGACTAAAACGACACCCCAAGCCGTGCAGCATAAGCACAGCACAACGGAGTGACACGGATGCCGCGAGGGAGAGATGAGGATGCCACAGGAGTGATAATGGGTGACTGGGATGGCGACAGTGGTGAGAGTGGCATGGCCGGGACATGGGAACAGATCCCGGGAGCACCCGACGAGCGCGCCGCCGCGGGTCCCGCTGCCGGAGTTCGCGATGCGCCAGCCCCCGGACCGTGTGCTGAGCACGCCACGAGGTCGGATTTTGCCCACGACGGCGTCATCCCTCCGCCTGTCCAGTCTCTCGTCACGGCAGCTGCGCGGAGGCCCGGGTCAGTCGTCTCAGGCCTCGGCGCGAGCCCTCCAGCTCGGACGCGGCGGTCTACGGTCGGGGCGCGTCGCCCCGGCGGCACCGGCGCGGTACGTGCCCCGATGGAGCGCGCCGCTCCGGCCGTACCGCCGAAGTACGTACCCGACGGGTCCTGCCGCCAGCACCAGCCGCTCCAGGTCCAGCCCGGTCATGAGCACGTAGACGCCCTTGCCCACCGCGCCCAGCACCTGAGAGTCTGTGGAAGACGGCAGGGTACACCAGGTCACCGCCAGGGGACACACACAAGAACACACACAAGCACATGCACACACACGCACAACACACACACACACACACACACCACACACACACACACACACACACACACACACACACACACGCGCGCGCGCGCGCGCGCGCGCGCACCGGCACCTAGTCCAGCACCTGGGAGCCTGCCGGGGATGGGGGGGGGGGGGCGGAGGAGGGAGCGGAGGGAGAGGGTGGGGGCCGGAGGAGAAGAGGCGGTTCGACTGAGCGAGCACACACCGGTGCAGGCGGCGGGCCGGCCGGGGCCCGGGAAGGCCACGCGACAGGCGCGGGCGCACACAACACCCGCGCGCGTGAGAGGACCGAGAACGTCGGGCCGGGCAAGGCGCAACGGCGACTCGGGGGGGGGGGGGGGGGGTCGGCGGTCCGGTACGGATGGCGTAGTGACGCGAACCAAAATCTCTCGGTGGTCAAAGAGCTGGCCTGAAGGGCGCGCACAACGCATCACAGCTGCTTACAACGCAAATTCCATCTGGTAAAAATTCCGATTTCTGCCACGCGAGCAGAGCATTGTGGTCACAAAGTCGAGGTTTGCGCACGAGAACATTTCGAGCAAAGAACGCAACTGTGAGGTCTTGCGCTCAGCCATAGCACAGCGGACTCAGATACTGAGGCGACACTCTACCGGCACATCGTTCTCGTGTCCTACTGAGGCCGGGCCGAGATTAAAACCTTGCACGGTAAGGACAGTGTAGAACAAACAACAATAGCTCACAATGTCATTTATCACAATACCAAACGAACCAGAAAAAAACATGTCGAAACATTCCACGTGTTCAACTTAAGACGGGCCTTTCAGTAGGCCCCAGCCAATGGTTTTAGCGACTGGCTGGTGCCCACGGACCAGCCAGTAAGCACGGACCCCCTGAGTGACTTTGTATTTTCCTCCAACTCCTTTCAACACGTCCGCCCCGCTGCGAGCAGGGCAAACCCCAGCTCTCACCACCCCCGCCTGGGCACGCGCCGGCGCCCGCCCGCCCTCACCGGGCACGAAGCAGTCCTCGAACACGAGCTCGCAGGTGGGCGAGCCCCGCATGCCCAGCTTGTCCAGCTTCGGCGAGGTCGAGAAGCCCGGCTGGCCGCGCTCAATCACGAACGCCGTGATGCCGTGCTGCGGCTTGCTTGTCAGGTCCGTCTTGGCGTACACCTGCGGCGACCCGGGTCACCGGTCACCAGACAGGAGAACTATAACGACAGGGCCATCAGGGAGAAACGTGTCGCTGTCCACTCTGGGTCCGGGCTGGGAGAGCGGCTGTCTAGCAGGGGCCACAGCAACGAAGATGAAATAGCGTGGCGTGAGCTACTGCATGCTGCCCAGCTACCTTTCGCCGTTATAATTACAGACACGGACATCTGTGTCTGTAATTATAACGGCCGACTGTAATTACATCTGCTATTATAATCTGACTGCTTTCTGGCGTCACAAGCGACACAGCAACCCTCAGATGAAGATGAAAGAGGTGAGACCGTAAAACGTCAGGGCTGGATCAGGACAGTAAGTTAGCCTGGATTAGGCTGATCCAGAAGGACAGGGCTGGAATAGCCAGATCCAGAACGACCGGCCCGGATTAGCCAGATCCAGGAGCCGGCCGTGTTAGCCCGATCCAGGAGCCGGCCGTGTTAGCCAGATCCTGGAGCCAGCCGTGTTAGCCAGATCCAGGAGCCGGCCGCGTTAGCCAGATCCAGGAGCCGGCCGTGTTAGCCAGATCCAGGAGCCGGCCGTGTTAGCCAGATCCAGGAGCCGGCCGTGTTAGCCAGATCCAGGAGCCGGCCGTGTTAGCCAGATCCAGGAGCCGGCCGTGTTAGCCAGATCCAGGAGCCGGCCGCGTTAGCCAGATCCAGGAGCCAGCCGTGTTAGCCACATCCAGGAGCCGGCCGTGTTAGCCAGATCCAGGAGCCGGCCGTGTTAGCCAGATCCAGGAGCCCGCCGTGTTAGCCAGATCCAGGAGCCAGCCATGTTAGCCAGATCCAGGAGCCGGCCGTGTTAGCCAGATCCGGGAGCCGGCCATCTTAGCCAGATCCAGGACCGGGTCATCCCGAGCAGACCACTGCCGCCGACCAGCCGTCCCCAGCCCCGCCCCGGGCGCCTCACCACCAGCACGTCGGCGACGGGGCCGTTGGTGATCCAGAACTTGGTGCCGTTCAGGACGTAGCCGTCGCCCTTGCGCTCGGCGCGCGTCTTCATGGACACGACGTCCGAGCCGCTGCCCGCCTCCGACATCGCCAGCGCGCCGAAGTGCTCGCCGGAGCATAGCTGCGGGCCGCGCGCGGCGTCAGAGAACGCGCGGGGCACGCGGCGAAGACCGAACACGGACCTAGCTGCGGGCTGCGCGCGGCGTCAAAGAACGCGCGGGGCACGCGGCGAAGACCGATCACGGACCTAGCTGCGGGCCGCGCGCGGCGTCAGAGAACGCGCGGGGCACGCGGCGAAGGCCGAACACGGACCTAGCTGCGGGCCGCGCGGCGTCAGAGAACGCGCGGGGCACGCGGCGAAGGCCGAACACGGACCTAGCGCGCCACAATGGCGGCATGCTTGAAGATGGTGAGAATGGTCGTAGGCGTCCGTATCGCCGAGTAAGACATCAGATACAAGGGTCTGTCGCGAACCGCCGGCTACCGAAACACATATGCGTTGTATTTTGATTAGGTTGACGACACTCATAAGACTGCTTATCTAAAGGTTGTCACCGACGCTGCATTATTGACACCACCATCACACCGTGCCTCATGACCGGGACAGCACTACATCCGCCGACGTAAATAGCCCGAGTTCGCTCCCCCCCCCCCCCCCCCCCCTCTCCCCCTCATTGCCGTCAACCCGCATCCTGCTCCTCTGCCCTGTCCCGTCTCTGTGCCGTACCTATTCTGCCCGCGTGACCGGCCTCTCCCCCCCCCCCCCTCCAGCTGCCGGCGCCGTCACCTTGGGCAGGTAGCGCTCCTTCTGCTGGGTCGTGCCGTGCCGGTTGATCTGGTTGATGCAGAGGTTGGAGTGCGCGCCGTAGCTGAGCGCCACGCCGCCGGCGGCGCGCGACATCTCCTCCATCACCAGACAGTGGTCCAGGTAGCCCATCCCGGAGCCGCCGAAGTCGGCGCTGGCCGTGATGCCCAGCAGGCCCATCTTGCCCAGCTGGCGCCAAAACTCCTGCGGCGGCAGCCCAGTCAGCACTGTGCCGCTGCCTGACTTTATGCTGCACCCCTGGTGATTTGCAATGCTAGCAGCTCTTATGAACCTCACCAGTTCCCTAGCCAATGAAGAGGGCATGATGTGAATACCTTCCCTGGGAATTTTAAATTCCCCTGGATAGGATTTGAATCCATCATCCTTGTTTCACAGAACAAGCATGCTGTGTGGCTGGCATATGTACCTGTATAGTTACACACAAACACACACACACACACACACACACACACACACACACACACACACACACACACACACACACACACACACACACACACACACACACACACACACACATGTATCCCCTTGCCTCTCCTCCCCCTCCCTCACTCTTCCTCCCCTCCCCTCCCTGATCAAACTCCATGTTATGTAAGCACTAATATTTAACTATCAGGGTTGGATCTAAAATATATTTAGTATTATTCCATGCTGCCATGGTTTCACTTATTCATGTGAGGTATGACAGGATACCAGTCACCATAAAAAGTACATCCACTCCCCCAAAGGCCTATGCAACAGTGCACTAAACCCCACACTTGTGTGTGCAAACCAAACTCAGGCCAGGCCAAGTCATGCTGAAATTATTTTTGGGCATACATGGGCTGAAATGTGTTCCTGATGTTGCATATCCATTTACCTTTCTCTTATCCCAATCATCTTTCTTGTCAATTTCATCTGCATAAGGAGCCAGCTCCTTCTGGAAAAATCCCTTCACACTTTGCCGCAGCTGAGAACAAAGTTGAGTGCTCATGTCAACCAGCATACCACCACAGTACATCTAGTACATATATTTTCTTCAATAAAACCCTGACATTCTTGCAAGAATGAGGGTTGTAGTATGTACCCTGTGAATGGGCAATGCATTCAAATTGGATACTTTTGCCCATGCTACTTGTTTCAGTTTTAATGATATCATATACAAGATGAAGTCAGAATTCCTGCGATGAAATGTGATTTTCAAAAAAAACATACCTGTTGCTGATCCTCATTCAACCCGAACATCACATCATCGACCTCATATAGAGAGAAGCACCTTACTGATGTTGGACTAACTTTATGTGGTACGCATGCCTGCCTGAGGGAGGCTGACATGCGCAGCAAATTGCTGCAGCGGAACAAAGACATCCTTTTACTGACAAAAGCAACCAAAAGTGATTAATATCCCTGCTGCCCTCCCCGGCGCTGTCCCGGCCTCAATACAACAGCGTCGCTGATTTTAATGCTGGAATACCATGAGGCCCCCGAAAGAAGAAGAACTGAGCTATGAACAGCATATGCGTAAGAGGCATAGACACATCTATGGTCTCCTACATGCGTTTTTCATACGTTTTGAAAGCCAATATTTCACGTAATAATTACCCTTGCGACGTGGGCAAAGAGCCTGACGAAAAACCCAACCAGGGCTCAGCCTCTGTAACTGAATATGAAACTGCACTCGTGATGTACAACTTGAATGCATATTGTAGGCATGTACTGCAGTTGGATACAGTGTTCCATTTAAGCAGTACAAACCAAGTTGAATTCACCGTAGTGCGTAATAATTTGAAGTGCTCGCATTTTTTTCTGATGTTTGACATCGTCGGCGTTCCCCCCCCCCCTCCACCCACCTTGTGTCAACCAAGTACTGAAGTATTGCACAAATGATGACATACAGTACATATCGCACAAACGACGAACTTTAAGCAAAAGTGGTCACTTTATCTACAGGGTCGTATTAAAAATGTCTTTGGTGCTAAGATGGGAGCAACATTTTGTTCGGCTTTGGTCACTGCATGCCTTTGATTGCACAACTTGTTAAGAAAAAATAAATTGTTGTATGTCGACAGTAGTTTAGTGACACATGCCCATTTCCAATCATCGTCAGCTGAATATTTGCGAACAATCGTTCGCGCGTGGCGTTGTTTGGCGTCTGCGACGTTACGCGGGCGGTTGATAGGTGTTAGATTGCGTACGTTCTAAGGTAAGCGAGGGTAATTGGAGCCAATGATGTATAGTTGTGTGTTGTGTGACGTTTGTAAACTATATGCATCATCTTTGTTGCAATCAAACATGTATTTTTTCTTTTCGCTTTCTGTTGAAGTCAATTTGATTTTTGACATTTCTGCCGCCTTTGGTTTGCGTTTGTGCTATTAGCGTCATTTCCGGTATGTTGGTCTATTATTTGGAATTTTGCTGCTGCATTTAGTTAACCCTTATTATCTTGGTTCTTAACAGCATGCACCTGGTCGTGCTATGCTTATTTATGGTGTTTAATTCACCGATAAGCTGAGGAATGATCCTCCACATTCCATGTATTCACCATGTATGACTGCATCATCTGTTGACCCTTCTGCTGAAAATGCATGTGTAACCAAGCATGTCTGGCATGGCAGTATGGCTGTTCATTGAATTTCATTTTGCCCTATATGTTTTACTGTAATACTCTTTCCTTTGGGTCCACAACATCGACAAGAGTAATTAAACATTACCTCACACTAACAGAGTGTGCTCAACCTACTGGTGTTTCTGATTTATTGGTGAGGGGTATCACTGCATCAAGACAATGCACCACTGGTGATCAGCAAATGATAATGCTGATTTTTGATGAGTCATTAAAAGTGTGGATTATCACTGGCTTAGGCCGTGCACACTGCCTAAAATATCACATGCTTTGCAAATGACTGGTTGGCAGGTATGTGAATAAAATTGCTAGATGCATAAAATAGGTATCTTGTGATCTGCTGATGTTAATGTTGTATGTAATTTTTTTACAGGGTTCTGTTGATTGAGACCATGCTGGGAAGTGTCAGACCCTGGGCTGTGATGTCAGTTGCTGGACATGACATCTAAATGAAATTTAATATATGATCATAAGATGTGGAGTATGCTCTCTGAGTAATGATGTTAGGGAGAGGGGAGCTCTTATTAGGCTCAATCTCAAGAAAAAGCTGCTCATTATGGTCACCCTAAAATATTCAACCTAGAGGTAAAGCTAAATTATATCAGGGTAGATGATACTAGATGTCACTTGATCTTCTCTTAAGCTTAGCTAAATAGACACAGTTTTTACATGTGTCCCAAGGTATTTTGGTATAGCCAACAGCCCCATGTGGTTTGAATATTACAGGTATTCTTTTTCTTCATTATTTGGCAGCATCTTGGCTACAAAATATGGTGTGGTGAAAGGGGACTGTGCAAGGATAGTACAAATGTCATGAGTAATTTTCCTGGAAAATTTGGCCTGTAAGGAAAGTGCAGTAATGATTGCAGAATACCTACTGCCATTGCAATGCTGCCTCTGTGCTATGCACAATCTACCCTGGGCACAGCTAGCAGATAGGCCTAGCCAGGCCCAGTCGACAAATCTACTCGGTCTGTCAGGTGCCCGTGTACATGGGTTTTTGACAAACCCATGCATGTGCCTGGGTTACCTCTCTACTCACAGCTGTTGTAGTTTGTTCACTTGGACTGGGGAACAGTGCTGCTAAGCATTCCTCTGCCAGTATTTCCATGAATGGCACTCTGCCAAGATTTGATGGTGCCTCATCAGGTTCAGGTTTGAGTTGGGCTGCTCTCGTGAACTCGCTTTTGCCCGCAGGCTTGACATGGCTTAATTTGGGCTTGTAGGGCTGCTCTGCATGTGTCTGTAAGTGCTGGGGATGCCCCTGCCTGGTAGTAGAGGTATCATGCTGTCAGGGGTTAGCAATTACATGCACTTGGGCCAGAAGGTCTTATCTGCCTGTAGGCTCTGTCTTGGGCACCTTGACTTCATGTTGAGGCATGATTCTTCAGCTTTGGGTGCATAGCCCACCTGCTTGGATCTCAGGGCACTCACGCACCAAAGCTGGAGGTGCCACTGCTCTTGGAGTCTGGAGTTTGCTTCTACCTCAGCTTGAGGCCTCTGACTGAGCCAGGAATGCAGCCTTACCCCAGGCTTGGGTGTGGTGGGGGGCATTTGTCACCCCACGTGGCCTTGTGGCACCTTTGACCTGAGCAGGGTATCTATATGTTATCCTCCTGGATTCAACATGGGCTATTCGACTAGGTTTAAAGATTCCAATCTACATGGGTTTTGTGATGCTGCACTTGTGGATTTTGGTAACAGGGGTACTTTAGTCAGGTTGAAGGACACCTAAGTTTCCAGATGTCAGCTAGATCCTCTTGTGCACCAATCCTCTCACAGCCACATGCTTAGTGTTATGGTTCTCAATAATGTTGGCTATTTGGGGATGCTAATTGGGGTTAGACCTATCTACCTATCTACCTATGACATATGCTGCAATGTTGGTCCAAAGTTCCTCAAAGGTTGTCATGCATCAGCAGTAATCTTCCAGGATAGCTTTTACCATTGGTGTCACAGAATGATGTCTTGTAAAGATATATTATTTTCAGTTTTTCACTTCCAAAACAGCATTTTGATTTCATATGCTAGTCCCATATATGGATAATTTTCTTGGTTATTACTCCCAAAAATGTAATGCTTGTGAGATATTTAAGTTACAAACACAAACTCAGTTTTTGTGGTTTGAATATTGATGGTTTATATAATAACATGAATGCTCTCTAATGCATGCTTAGGTGTTGGACAATTTGGCCCTCAGAGGTTTTCCCAGAATAACTTCTGAGAGATGCAGTGAAATTACACCAAACTTTACATAGGCAGTACAGTCCACGCACCTGTGGCAGGTTATGTTTGGTTCGCTTTAGACACCTGCTATTTCGACCTGGAATTCTTTTGTTTGACACATGCCCAGGTGACTGGCTAGGTACCCTTCCCTCGGGTGGGGGTGGGGGTATATTTGACCCCCCTGAGATCTAGGGAACCAAGAAAGCTAGAGACTCCAAATTTACAGGGCATGTTGATGTGTATGTGAAGGCACTTAGGTCAAAATTTTGCATTCATAGGTCATGACACAAAAGTTCAAATGAGGTCAAGTTCCATTTGGTCTCCAAAGTGCTCCCAGAATGTAGATAACTGTTTCTAAGCAAAACGTCACATTCTAATTCAAGGGCAGTGACCTTTTTGACCTTTTGAAGGTCAAGCAGACCAAAATCATACAAGATTGCTTTGAGTTTTGCATTTGACTAAGTGACAAAGATAAAGGTAGGCAGTATGTTCCTAAAACAACAAAATGTGTGGGCGCCAAATGACCACCGCAGTCGGCGCGCCCCTAAACTCCAATAAACAACAACAAAATCCTAAAAAAATGTTGATATGGGTCATTTTAGGTCAATGACGTATTTTGACCCCTAAGAAGTCCATGGAAGCTGTAGAATGTGGTTGCTGCTATCAATAAACTTAAGTGAGCACCAGAAACTATCCCATACAGCAAGCCCTGGAGTAAGAAAACAGGTTGGTTTTGATCTCGGTATGACCATACCTGAACTTAGGTCAATGTAATTCGCTCATTCAACTGTTGTGTTGCCCAAGAAAGCATCTCAGAGATGTATGGCTTCGTCTAACACTCTGTTGATCAAATTGAAGGATTCCCAGGAAATTGCCTTCGCTGAAAGCATGGCCTGACTTTGACCCGCCGTCGGTCAGCGACCTTACATGGTACATATAAATTTTTGATGTGAAATTATTTGCTATTCAATTTTCTACAGCTTTGCAAACTTTGGAAACCATTCTGGAAAAACCTTGTGGGGGTCAATTTGACCCCGCCCCCCACCCGAGCGCGTGTTAATGGTGGGTGCATGGCTTACACGAGGACTGCTGAGCATGAGTTTCGATCCCAGAAATGATCCATCTGTAATTGTCAAATTACATTTGTACCCCCCCCCCCAAAAAAAAAAGAACCCACATGGCGTTTGCTGTGTGACACCAGCTTGCTCCATGTTTTTTTTTAAGTGCTGGAAGGTCCGCCATACAGGAGATTGTCTCAAATTTTCATCAGAGAATGTCTTTGCATGCCTTGCCATAAACTCAGAGCTCAGCTCAACCCAACATGGCCTTCAAATTAGCAAACTCAACGTGTGTCATTAACTCATTTTCCATGTCATTAAGAGTGTCATGGATTACCAAGAGGAAGGCTGAGAGTACACAGTGGTTGCATTGCCCTATAAAGGGGGAAGCAGAGCGTCTCCAGTGGCCAGCCTGCAGCCACACTCCAGCCATTGCAGCTGCTGTGCTAGCCTTCTCCCTGGCAGGTGCAGTCTCTACCCCAGCAGATAACCCACTCTTTTCCTGACAGGGGCTGTTTCTTCCTTAGCAGGTGACCCACTCTCTCCTCAACAGGGGCTGTTTCTTCCCTAGCAGGTGACCCGCCCCTTCCCTGGCGGAGGCCGTCTGTTTCCCAGTGGGTGACCCGCTCTCTTCCCGGCAGGGGCCGTCTCTACCCCAATTCCGTCACAATTGCTGCCACAATGCCGGTCAAGTCGGGGACGGTGAAGATCTTTCTGGGCAACCTGAGCGACGCCGCCACCCCCGACACCGTGCGCCCGCTGTTCGAGGCGTTCGGCAAGGTCGTCGAAGCTGACGTCATCAAGAACTATGGCTTTGTGGTGAGTGGCCCGGGCAATGCGACGGCACCTCTGGGCTTGCTCGTGTGTGTGTGGTTGTGGTTGTCGGTGTGGGTGTGTGTTGGTGCTTGTGTGGCGGTTGTTGACTGGAGGGATTGGTGACACTGAGAGTTTTCTGATTTGATTTTGGGGATAACCAGCCAAACATTGCTTCCTTGTTCCTGGCCATGATGCAATTGAGCAAAGTGCCGGCATTATGAGAGTAACACTGGGTGACGGTCATCTCCCATTGGACTTGTGCTGACATCAAGAGGTTGCAGAATTATTTGAGCAAAAATAGAAAATTTCATGGACAAAAGAAGGTATTATGTAGAGGAGGCAAGTGCTGCAACTTTTTATTTATGTTAACCCAAAGTGTTACGGCCAAAAGCCCATTCCTTGTGAACAAAGGTTTTGGGTGTGCCATAAGTAAGTCTGTCTCTGCCCCACATCTGACCAGTCCCTCTGCCCCATGTCTGCCCTGTCTTTCCACCCATGTCTGACCTGTCCCTCTGCCCCATATCTGACTCGTCTCTCCGCCCCATGTCTGCTCTGTCTCCACCCCATGTCTGACCTGACTCATCTCTCCTCCCATGTCCACTGCAGCACATGGAGGACGAGTCGGAAGCAAAGCGCGCCATCGCTGCGCTCAACGGTCGCGAGGTGTGCGGCAAGGCCATGGTGGTAGAGCTCAGCACAGGACTGAACAAGCGCGGCATGGCGCGGCGCGGCAGGTGAGCGCGCCGCTGCTGACATCTATCGGCGTCATGGGAAGGTGGAGTCATGGTGCTGGCGCTAGGGGGATAGGGAACGTGGAGTTATGGTGCTGATATTTGGCGTGATGGGGAAGGTGGAGTTATGGCGGTGACAACTAGCGTCGTGATGGAAAAGGTAGAGTTGTGGTGCTGACGTCTTGGGGGACGATAGCGAAGGTGGCGATATTGTAGTGACATCTATCTGGACAACGGGCAGGCTTTAACATGTGGTGACATCTAACGGTGCTCCGGGGAAGCTGCGATCCGCCGAAATCCAAACAACAGGCGAATCCCCTAGCAGAGTCTGCAGCCAGGGGGAACACAGATAACAGGAAATAGTCTGTTCCTGGACTTCCACAAGGCTTTTGAAGAATGTGCTTTAGAGGCTTGGAAATACTTAAGATAGTGGTAAAATATCTATAATATATTGAGAATATAGCATCTATTTGGAATAAAGCAAATAAGAAAACAATTGTGGATAATTGCACATACCTCTCAACTGTTCCACTGAATTCATTTCATGTAAGGTATAGTGGAGATGTCAAACACTACTTAAGACACTTGCTTGGGCACTTGGGCTCCCTGAAGTGTCTGGCTCTTGTGTAGAAATGGCCACTGGAAAGAACACATTTTCCACCATAACATACGGGCTGAATGCGGAGCGGAACACACACGAAAAGCTTAGAAAAGCAACCCATGAGATTGTAACTGACACCGGCTCTTTTGTTGAAGACTGTTCTTCGGTACTCTCTTTTTCATGCATTTGACACAGTACGCATTCATCCGTCCCAATTGGTCAGTTGGATAGGGCGCCTGCCATCTGACTCACCCACCCATGGTGGGGTGAGTTCGAGTCACTCTGGGCGCTCGCTGTCTGGCCTTGACGGCTATGCCCTGCGGCCGGTGGCAGCGGTCGCGATAAAGACCCGTCGACGTCAGAGGGCAGACGGACCGTGCCGGGCATTGCGGCACGTTAAGCCTTCGCCACCGAATTCTGCCGTTCACATGAAGTGGCGCGATCAGATGGCAGGTGTCAAGGCTCACACAACAAGCACCGCTGAGCGTGAGCTCTGATCCCGGAAATACATCCATTCAAAAGGTTTGGATTAATTCTGTAGCATTCCTAGCCTCCGTCGTTTCTCATTAGCGCTTGGGCGGCGGCAGCGGGTCGGGTGGAGACCATAAAGGCCATAGATCGATTCAGGTCAGCACCATACGCCATTGGAAGTGCTGTGACCGGGGCCGTTGCCGGTGGGTAGATGTAGCAGGTGCTGCGTGGAGTAAAATTTGCTTTATGAGGTGGAAGTTGCCTCCGCCGCTGCTGCAGTCCTCCTCTCCCCCTCCCCCCCCCCATCACATAGCAGCTGTGTTCTAAAGTGCCAGACAGGTGAGCAGTTTTGCAAATATGTTTTGGGGAGGTTTGAGACTGAGCAGATTAATGTTCAGCCTCTGCCCAAAAAACAACAATGTTTTCTTTATGGGTTAGACCAACGTTCTTTTCAAAGTTGGAGGGGGAAGCTGTAGCCCCCCCCCCCTCCCCCCCCCAACTGGATAGGAAACTACACCCATGGTCCGAGATGAAATGTATGTAGGTCAGCAGGGGCGTGGGTGGGTGTAATGTTGCGCCAGCATCTGTTCCTCAGGCGGGATAGATAATACCTTGGCACCCGCAGTACCCACTATTCTTAAGTGTCCATGTGGGCAATGTGGGGGCTTGCATGCCATTTCAACCACAACACTGGTTTGATGTGTGCTGGGGAATCATGCAACAGGTGTGCAATGTTTTGAGCATTGGATTCTAGCTGCTCTCCAGGCTCAGAAAGTTTAGTGTTGTGTGGATGCAACATGTGCGGAAATGGTAGAGCAAAGCTTTTCATCACACTTATGGAACCTGAAACCGTCACACTTATGAAACTTTCAGAATTGCAAGCTGCTGATTTTCCACTGTCTTTGACGACGGTCATGTATCACTGAAACCAGCTAGTGCATGGTATTTGGAATGGATTTGGAATGGCTAGTGCTACTAAGGAATGGACGCTAAGTGCCAGTGTTGTACAGAGTGCAAGGCCATCAGGTTTCGCTGCGCGTTTTAATTATAATTTTCTCACTGAAAAGGGAAACTAGCTTTCCGACTCTGCTCCTGCCCCATTCCCTCCGTGAGCTGGACCGCCACCGTGGTCCCATCGTGGCCTCTGACCTCCGGGTGACCCCGGCGGGTCGGCCGTGCGAGCGCAACGCCTCGTCTCCGTCTGACCGGCAGCCAACCGAGTGGTGCGCATGCCGCCAGGTGCAAGATCTTCGTGGGCAACATCCACAAGGACACGCAGCTGGACGAGCTGCGCAGCCTGTTCTCCGCCCACGGGACTGTCGTGGAGGCCGACATCATCTCCAACTACGCCTTTGTGGTGCGTCGCTGCCGGCCGATGGCCTGGTGATGGGTGAGGTGCGGTGGTGACGTGCGGTGAGGCGAGGTGATGAGGTGCGGTAGCGAGGTGAGGTGAGGTGAGGTGAGGTGAGGTGGGGTGGGGTGGGGTGGGGTGGGGTGAGGCGAGACGAGACGAGACGAGACGAGGTGGGGTGAGTTGGGGTGGGGTGAAGTGAGGTGAGTTGGGGTGCGGTGCGGTGCGGTGCGGTGCGGTGCGGTGCGGTGCGGTGCGGTGAGGTGAGGTGAGGTGAGGTGAGGTGAGGTGAGGTGAGGTGAGGTGAGGTGAGTTGAGGTGCGGTGAGGTGAGGTGGGGTGAAGTGAGGTAGGGTGAGGTGTGGTGGGGTGAGGTGAGGTCAGGTGAGGCGAGGTGGGGGTTCAGTGTGATGACTCGGGTGTGACGTGATGTGACGTGGCGTGACGCGGTGACGACACGGTGACTTGGCGTGAAATGTGGTAGTGTGATTTGAGGACATGGTGGTGTGATATGATACCATGGTGTGACGTGGCATGTTGACATGACGTCACAGCATGGTGGTCAGTCGTTGTAACATCAGGGGTGTAATTTCTCATTCACTTGTGGAGGGGGGTGTCCTTCTCATACCTCCCCCATCCCGGCGCATTCTGCGAAGTCCTTGTAGGACATTCCATCATCATAATGGCGGGATGATCATGTGATGCTGTGATGAATCTTGACATGCTGGCACGACCATGTGGATAACTGATGTGATTTACGACATCGTGATGGTGTGACACAAGAGTGTGATGTTCCATGTGTCTTATGATAACATGATGGCATGATGATAATGTAACGTGACGATTTGACTTCATGACGTGGTAATAACGGACAGGTTTTGATATAAAACCATGATGGTATGGCATGATGATAATGTAATGTGATGATTTGACTTCATGACATGGTAGCAACAGATGTGCAGTGTAATAAGCTGACAGGGTGTGACATGGTTATTCACCTTGAGACGTTAAGATGACACATTAACTTGTTGCGCTGATGTCACGACCACCCGCACGCAGCGGTGCAATGAACCTTGACCATGACTAGTTCCTTGATACAGCCTTGACTGCAGTATACATGACCATAGTGACCCAGACTGTAGTGACATGGTTGTGCTATAAATGTGACCTCAGTGACCTTGACTGTAGTGGCATGGTTGTGCTTGTCCTGCTGCAGTACACATTAAATGTGGCCTTAGTGACCTTGGCTGTAGTGGCCTGGTTATTCTGCATAACACAGAAGTTTGACCGACGTGACCTTGGTCACAGTCACAGGGCATATCATGTCTTGGCTGTGATAAATGACTGAGGTGATAACTCCAGCCAGCTGTGGCTTCGACCTCTGACCCGTGACCTGACCCGTGGCCCAGAGCATAGACCATACATTCCTGGTTCTGTATGATGACATTGGAATGATGAGACCTGCCCCCCTGAGCTCTGACCTTTAGAACTTGATCCCTGACCTTGACCCTTATCTGCCCCGATACTAACCACCACTCACTATTACCACCTGACCCCATGACCTCTGATCCCATGAACCCATGACCAGACGACCCCTGATCTCTGACCCCCATGACCCATGACCTCTGACCCCCATAACCTCTGACCCCTGACCCCGGCCTCCGGCAGCACATGGAGGGCGAGGAGCAGGCTCAGGCGGCCATCGACGCCCTGAACGGCTACCAGCTGCACGGACAGGACATCCGCGTGCAGATGTCCACCAGCAGCGTGCGGCCTGTGCCTGGCATGGACAAGGCCGACATGTGCTTCCGCTGCGGCAGCCACGGCCACTGGAGCAAGGACTGTGGACGGTCAGTGCGGAGGCGGCGGTCGGGATGGAGCGGTGTGGCTGCACGTACATGGAGTGGAGCGGGGTGAAGGATGGGCGTGTCGTTTTTGGTCTTGTGTGGAAATGTTCCGCGATGTGATCAATAGTGGAGGGGGGATGGAAGGGGGCCGAGTGTGTGTACGTGGGCGTTTTGTTGTCGTTGTTCGGTGGGCACGCGCCGGGGCGCTCAGTTGGAGCCGCCGCGGTCTCGTGCTAATCGGTGCACCGCCCCGCTTTATCTCTGCGGGCCTGTCCGTGGTGCTCCGCTCCGTCCTGAGCTCGCGGAGTCCGCCGATCCCTCGTGAACCTTGGCGACCTCCGCCGACCCTGTATGTGTTCCGGCTGACCCTGTGCGACCTCCGGACCGTGTTCGGCCACTGGTGATTCCCCGTGGCTCCTGCTGACACTTCGTGACCTCCCCTCACCCGGCGTGACCCCTGCTGGCCCTGCGTGGTCCCTGTTGATCAAGGATAACCCCTCGTGACCCCTGCCGGCCCTACGTGACCCCTTTTAATCACGTATGACCCCGCGAGACCCCTGCTGGCTCTGTGTGACCCCTGTTGATCACGTGTGACCCCGCTTGACCCCTCGTCGGCCGCGCACCCACAGGCAGGACCTGGTGGGGTACGGCGCGCCGGCCGGACCGACCGACGCCTGGGCAGGCTACCAGGCGGCGGCGGCGTCGGCCGGCGCCCGCGAGCGCGCCCGCTACGCGCCGTACCCGGCGTACGCGCCGCCACCGCCCGCCTACCGCCGCGACGTCTACTACGACCCGGCCGCCAGACGTGACACCTACTACGAGGTCAGGCGCCGGCCGGCGGCTGTGGGCGCGAGCCGAGCTGTGCGCGTGGCGGCGGTGGTGACGGCTGTGGTGTGGTCGGCGGTAGCGATGAGGGCTGCGGCGGCGTTGTTCAGTTGCGTTCTGCTGTCGCGCGATCGCAGTGACTCGGCGGCACTGCAGGGTTCCGAGCTGATGGGTCGGTTAAGCCGGGAGCTTTTACTTCAAGTCTGGCAGGTAAACGTGCATGCTTCCAAGGCGGCGGCTGTTTAGCTGCAGTGGCCAAAGGTACCAAAGCTATAGCTTTGTGGCGATAAGCAAGCCCCAGGCTAAAGGAGTATGCGAAAGTCGTGCATGCCCGCAGCCTGCCGTTGCTCGCCGCGAGCGACCGTGCCATTGCGGAGGTGCTGGCACGCAACGCGCCACCGTCGTGCCGACACCGCTATGACGCCGTGCCGCCGCCGCCTCCACCGCAGGGCTATTACGACACGTACGACGCGTACGACCTGTACGACCGGCGTCGAACGGCGGCGCTGCCTCCGATGCACGACCCGTACGGGCCGCCGCCGCGGCGTTACGACACGGAGGAGCCGCTGTACGACAGACGCGGCCCGGCCTCCTACAGGTTAGTCAGGTCACTGTGAGAGGTCAGTCAGGTCACTGGTGACAGGTCAGTCGGACCCCCGCCCCAGCAACAGGTCAGTCAGGCCCCTAGCGACACGTCAGTTGGGCCCCTGGTGACAGGTCAGCCAGGCCCCTGCCCTAACAACAGGTCAGTCAGCCCTCTAGCGGCATGTCAGTCAGGCCCCTGGTGACAGGTCAGTCAGGCCCTGATGACAGGTCAGTCAGGCCCCTTAGCGACATGTCGGTCAGGCCCCTGATGACAGGTCAGTCAGGCCCCTGGTGGCAGGTTAGTTAGGCCCTGATGACAGGTCAGTCAGGGCCCTGGTGACAGGTCAGTCAGGCCCCTTAGCGACATGTCGGTCAGGCCCCTGATGATAGGTCAGTCAGGCCGTAGCGACGGGTCAGTCAGGCCCCTGGTGACAGGTCAGTCAGGCCCCTGGTGACAGGTCAGTCAGGCCCCTGGTGGCAGGTTAGTTAGGCCCTGATGACAGGTCAGTCAGGCCCCTGACAGGTCAGTCAGGCCCCTGGTGACAGGTCAATCAGGCCCTAGCGACGGGTTGGTCAGGCCCCTGGTGACAGGTCAGTCAGGTCCCTGGTGACAGGTCATTCAGGCCCCTGGTGACAGGTCAGTCAGGCCCCTGGTGGCGAAGGGCGTCAGAGCGCGAGGGCGTGGAAGCGCAGTGTCTAGTTTTATGTTTCGTCTGAAAGTGATGACGCCCGTACCTCTGGGACGGCGCAATCTCTCGCCTGGCCGTCTTCAGTCACACCCGCGCCTGCTCGCCCGCCTTGGTCTTATCCGTGAGGGCATCACAGCCTCGCCGATCACACACGCGGGCAGGGCACTGTTGTGTTGCCCGCGTGCCTGCACGGCTTTCGCGTGTGGTGAGTTGGTCTGGCTGCACCCTCTTGCAAACGGACGGGGTGGAACGCAGTGCGGGCGCGGTTGGAGGGACTGCCGGGCTTGTTTTGTAAGTGTTGAGACCTGAGATAGCTTTTCAATCGCTGCATGCGTCGCAGGTCATCGTGTCACATCTGATTGCTTGGGTGCCATTCGCTAGGCGGCAGGTGGCGCGGGTAAATGATTGAGCGTTTTCCATGTCACAGTAATTTCGCACTTGGCACTGTCACGCGCGACCTCTTAGTGCACTGCACGTTCTCTTTGTCCTTTGATCGTCTTAACACTGGCGTGTGCTCCTCTGCGTGCTAATCCACTGGCGTACCGTCCCGCGTCGCATGCAGCGCCGTCTGGTGCCGTCGCCTCGCGCTGGCCGCTGTGGCGCGCTGTGACCCCCGCCACCGAACATGCACGGCGCGGCCGGCCGACCCCGGCTCCTCCCTGGCGTTTCAGTTAGCGGGCGGCACCTGCGCGCGTCGTGGAGGTGTCGCTAGCGCCTCCCGGGCGGCGGCGGCGGTGTGTGGCGCCTGAGGTGGGCCGCGCGCGCCCCCCGGCGGACGCTTGCGGCGCGAGTTGGCGCCGGTCGGTGCGGTGCGGTGCGGTGCGGTGCAGTGTGGTCTAGTGCGGTGTGGTGCGGTACGGTGCGGTGCGGTGCGGTATGTTGTGGTGCGGTGTGGTGCCGTCGGCTGTTGGCCGTGGCCCTGCTTGTGAACGCCGGCGGCTGTGGACACTGGCGTGGCCGGTATGTCGTCTCCTCTACTCGGGGCGCTGGCGGCGTGCATGGCTTGCCTGCGTTCGCTGTCCATTCTCCCCTCTCTCTATGTGGATGTGTTTGTGTGTGTGTGTGCGTGCGCGCGCGTGTGCGTCGGTGTCTGTCGATGTGTGCGTGTGTGTGTGGTGTGTATGTGCCCAGCTAACTGACTGCGGACGGTCCGCCGGCGGTCCGGCGTGTGGGGCGGTCACGTGCGGCCGGCGTCCGTCCGGTGACGAGTCGTGTTCAGCGCGCCGCCCGCGGCCCGACAGATGTGGCGCCGGCGTCGCCCGCGGGTCCCGCCAGATGAGACTTGGCCCGCGCCCCGCCCCGTCCCGCCCCGCGTGAGCCGGCCGCGCGCGGCGCGGCGCGGCGCGGCTCGGCCGCCCTCTGACGCGCACCCGTCTGGCCTCCGCAGAGTCGCGCCCGCCGCACCGCGCCGCATGTACTAACCGCGCCGCCGGGATCGCCACCACCGCGCCGCCGCCGTCGCCGCCGCGCGCCCGGGCCGGTCTGGAGTCACGCTCGCCACCACCGCGCCGTCGCCGCCGCTGCGCGCCGCCGGGCAGGGTCGCGCGCTGCGGTCGGCGTCTCGGTCCCCCGCCTCGCCTTCAGACGGTCGGCGGCGCTGCGGGGAGCGCCGGCCGCCCCTCCCCGATCGTGTGCCGCGGCCGCCTGTCGGTGGCGGTCCGCACTGCAAGTGTACAGCGTCACCGTTAGATGGCGGTAGCGTCTCACCGCGCTGGGTTATTTACGGTTTGCTTGTGCTTCTGCGCGCACTTTGGTCTATTGCATCCGGTCGTGTTTGTTTTTCCAATAAACGGTTCGGGGCAGACTGTTGTTTCTGGGAGGATCACTGCAGACGTGGAAGCTGCCAGCTGCAGCCACTGACGCGCACGACCTCACCCCACATGCTCGCAACGCCCCACGACCCCGCGCGTAGGGGCAGTCGTGGATGTCACCAGTGGAAGCTGGCGAGAGCGCGCCGGACGGGAACATTTCCAGAGTGGGCCTTGTGCCACGTGTCTCCGTGAAGTGCACGTTTGACACGTGTTCGCATTGATATGTCATCCTAAGGTCAGATGTTCCCCGGCTTCCTGCTGACCCCTGCACTCTGAGCCGCCTCCTAACGCCACACAACCAGGGTAGACCGCACACCCTAAGGCCCAAATCACCCCCCCCCCCCCCCTCTCCCCATCCCACAGACGTCGTCACTGCCATGCCGGCTACGATAAGCCGGCCCAATGGCGGCTTATCGTAGCCGGTGTGGCGGGAGTCCGTGTCCGGCTCGAGCGCCTGCGCGATCCCCATGCGGCTCCCCGTCCATGGCGGCGTCCCAGACCCGTGATGACCTGCATGTGGCGCCCTTTTCACGCTCCGCTCCACCACGCTTCCCATCCCTCTTATTTGTCCCAGAGCACCGCCATGGCTGGCGAGGATCGAAAGAGCTCCCGGCTCATCGGTGTGTGCGAAGGTGAGGGATGCACTCACAGGAGTGTTAAGAGTGCGGATGCACTCACCAGAGTGTTAAAAAGTGCGGGATGCACTCACAGGAGTGTTAAAAGGTGCGGGATGCACTCATAGGAGTGTTAAAAGGTGCGGGATGCACTCACATGAGTGTTAAGAGTGCGGGATGCACTCACAGGAGCGTTGAAAGGTGCGGGATGCGCTCGCAGGAGTGTCAAAAGTGTAGGATACACTGACAGGCGTGTAAGAGTCGCTCGAAGGCGGAGCGCTGCGCCCCGTTGTGAGGCTAAACAGCGACCTCCTGCCTGATGAAGAGCGATCTTCCGGTCTTCTGCGCGCATTGTGCACTGACTTGTGCGGCGTCCGCCGCGGGCTGATCTCCGCCGTGAGGTGCGCGCGCTGGGCGGCGACGGCGCCGGGCCGCGGCAGCACCTCTCCACCGGACTAGAGCGAGAGGCGCCGGCGGCGCCTCTGCCGGTGACGCGGACCGGCAGAGGAAGCGTGCGAGCATGCTGAAGGCAGGCTCGTCGGGCGCGTCCGTGTTCTTCATCGTCTTGTGGTTGCTTCTTTGATTCCGGCGTAGCGTTTGTGGCGTGCATTCTCCGTAGTCCCATTAAGATGTCACGTTTCGCCCGTCAGTTACATATATTATAACCATGTGTTTTTTCATACCGCCTTTTGCGGTCATTACGCGCGATTTCACCGCCTGGTAGTGAGGTAGTGTTTTTCATCTTCATGCCTTTGCTTCCTTGATTCCGGTGTATCGTTTGTGTCGTACATTCTGTTATCCTATTAGGAAGCCATGTTTCACTCTCGAAAAACATACATTATGTCAGGTGTTATTTGATACCGCCTTCTGCGGTCATTGCGCGCAATTTCACCGCCTAAACGAAAAATGCCGTGGCATATTTAGCATTATAAACACATCGACAGACCGAGCAGGACTAAGAAAATATAGTGGAAAATCGTGCTATTGCAGCTGAGGGGTGTACCCATGTTTGCTATTAAGTGTTAGATAGTTGGGGCGTAATAGTTTGATGTCACCTAGTACGATTCTTCTTGCTAAGAATGGTCTCCATGCTGTAATGGTTCTATAAATGTCATATGGACATCGATCATGTGGGAGGTAGCATACGATGGAAGTGTCGCCTTATGACGGTTCGGCAATAGCCGGATGGGCCAGTGGTATGGCCCAAAAAAAACCGGGAAAGTGGCAATATTTCATTTGTTGTGGATTTTCTGACTTGCTTTTGCTGCTGTTTTGCATAACAAATATCGTTTCGTTCTAGGAACGTCAAACTAAAAACTGATTTTTGGTAGGCGCCGTCCCTGTGATGAAGTAAAAGCCCGGCGTCCTGATTCCAATCAGGTGTCAGCGCTCACGTGTCCCAAGACATCCGACTACAGTGCCCTTCAAATGCCCTTGCCAATATGCGTGCTATAGCCCACGCTGCGAAAACAATACGTCTTCCCCCATTGCCCGTCTCAGCATGTGAACGTGCCGCCTCGTCACGTTCCGTGCATATCGGCGCTGTTCCCGGCGACAGAATCGTCTTGAGGTTCCTCCGGTCGCCGCTGGAGGCGCTGCTCGCACTTCTGATAGATGTCGCCACAGTCGCCCGAGACGGACCGCTCGACGGCCGAGCAGAAGCTGGAGAACTCGGTGCCCGGGTGGACCTGGGTCAGCAGGTAAGACAGCGGCAGGCTGAAACACGAGAGGTTGGATAGGCTGAAACATGGCCGGTATGACAGGCTGAAGCACGGCGGAAGGGGAAGCACGCCGGAAGAGTCCGTGCATCTTCATCAGTATAGTATAGGTGGCGCTACTAACCTGGCCAATCGCACGGCCGTGCCGTACGGCTCGCCGTGGCCAGCCGCGGCGACGCTAAGTCTGCAGAGCCGGGCCGGCATACAGTGCGGACTCTGCTCCGCCAGCAGCCCGGCCAGACGTGCCGCCAGCCGCAGGCCTGTCGGGTCGGCTACCCCTGCGAGAGCGGGACACAGTACAGTAAGGGCTCTGGCGGGTCGGGCACCCCTGACGGGGCGGGACACATTGCACGCTGTATGACCGATCGTTCCGCCGCGGGTTTCAGGTGTGTGTGTGTGTGCGTGTGTGTGTGTGTGCGTGCGTGCGTGCGTGCGTTCGTGCGTGCGTGCGTGCGTGCGTGCGTGCGTGCGTGCGTGCGTGTGTGTGTGTGTGTGTGTGTGTGTGTGTGTGTGTGTGTGTGTTTGTGCGTGCGTGCGTGTATGTGTGCGTGCGTGCGTGCGTGCGTGTGTGCGTGTGTGTGTAGACTGAACATCGGGGTTTTAAAGGCGCTCGTGCCCATGCAACGCCATATGCATGGTCTTATATCTCTCAAAAGTTGGGAGGATTTCTTCCTGTGACGTTGCCCGTGCGCGCAGCATAGCCATACGCGTGACGCAACCCCGCCAGCGTACATTTGTCCTGATCCAGGTCAGTATTGGGCGAGGGGGTCCCTTGTGTTCCGTCCACAAGCAAATACACAAACAAACACTAACAAGACAGTTAGCGCTCGAGTAAAAAGTTCCTGTCAGATCCCACTAGGCCCGTGTCAAACCCAGTCACACTGCGAGCATAACGTGCGCAGCACACATTGCTCTCTCATGACGTCACAGTTCCGTTCACTTTACGGTTGTCGCGCGTCACGCGGTTCGCCCTGAGGTACGCACTCACACTGCGGGGAGGGGAGGGGGGGGGGGGGGGAGGACACTGGGCTCATTATAGACCAGCGTCTGGGGACACAGCGCGTGCTCCCGCAGCAGGGGGCGCCGCGAGCTGTGAGATACGTGGGCCGCGCAACGTCCGCCGAGCAGGATTCTCCTGGGAACGGGGGCGTTCTCCCCGTGAGGGTGAGGCGTTCTCCCCGTGAGTAGGTCGTTCTCCCCGTGAGGGTGAGACGTTCTCCCCGTGAGGGTGAGACGTTCTCCCCGTGAGGGTGAGACGTTCTCCCTGTGAGGGTGAGGCGTTCTCCCCGTGAGGGTGAGGCGTTCTCCCCGTGAGGGTGAGACGTTCTCCCCGTGAGGGTGAGGCGTTCTCCCCGTGAGGGTGAGACGTTCTCCCCGTGAGGGTGAGACGTTCTCCCTGTGAGGGTGAGGCGTTCTCCCCGTGAGGGTGAGGCGTTCTCCCCGTGAGGGTGAGGCGTTCTCCCCGTCAGGGTGAGGCGTTCTCCCCGTGAGGGTGAGACGTTCTCCCTGTGAGGGTGAGGCGTTCTCCCCGTGAGGGTGAGGCGTTCTCCCCGTGAGGGTGAGGCGTTCTCCCCGTGAGGGCGAGGCGTTCTCCCCGTGAGGGTGAGACGTTCTCCCTGTGAGGGTGAGGCGT